TTTGTTCATACTGCTGCCTGTAAGCTCTATTAAAAGATCTCAGAAGAAACTGGTTGACATTACTATGCAAAGTTAATAATCAACAGACTAGAGTCAATTCTATTTTAAATTGTACTTTGCTTCTGACCATCTAAGTATATTCATACAATGACTTCTACTATTTATAAGTTATAGCCAATACAACACAATAAAGATCATCCTATTAAACAGCCATATATTGAGTCATATTACATGTTTTCTGTGATTCAAATTGCACTGAAAAGCCATATTTTTGTCATATCCAGCAATGCTCAGGGATCACTCCTGGTGGTGCTTGGAAGTCAGTTTACAGTCTGGGAACCAAACCAGGATCATCTAAGTGCAATGCAAGCATCTTAACCTCTGTCTTATCTCTTTGGTCCCTGGGAAGTCAGGCCTTTAAGAAAGGCTGTACAGACACATTTTCAGTTGTTAACTTCCCTCTGGACAAAAACTTATTGTCTTGTTAACTAATTCACTCTAGATAAAATTAAGCTTTCCTTTTCTAGCATTTCCATAGCATCATGTGTGTACCTTACTATATATTCCTAATGCCAGACTGTAATTATCTTTCTCACTATACTTAGCTCTTTTTAACAGCAATATCGCAATCATCTATGTCATTTTGGAAGCACAGTCCTTGCATTAAAGAGGTACTCCAACAATTCTTCCGAGAGAGTTATTATAAGTTAGGAATACTTACACTATTAACCTTAAAACATTCAGTCCTTGAGGCTTATCTGAGGCACCCTGGAGGAGAGGAGGTGAGCCCACCACCAGCCCAAACTGAGCCCCATCAGCTGAAAACCTCCAGAACCCAATTTCTGCCATGCTCATGGCTGATCTCCACAGGTTCGGGACAAGCATCATTCATGAATGAGTCAATCTGTTGAAAAACTCAGGTATGCATGTTTTGTGACAGAAATTTCCAGGCCCTCAAGGAATTGGGGACGGGTGACCTCCCCCCATCCTCCTATTCTTCTGGGGGCATCACAGTCATGCCCACCAACTGCCTCTGGCACCACAAAAGCTCATTAATGGCCATGACCCAGAGACTCACAAATAAATCTTGGAAGAGATCTACAAGCTGCAGAGATGTCTCTGAACCCCAAAGTCACTATCACTGTAAAAGTTTAACTCCAGCTGTATCATCACCCTATTTAAAATTTTACAATTCCTGGTGTGACACCTCATACTCTACACCACTGATGTACCAGGAGGAGCACACCACATTGGCTGGTGTATAAAGTAGAAGGCAATTGATCTCGAGCAAAAAAATAAAATAAAATAAAATATACATATGTGTGTGTATATATGAAATATACATATGTGTGTATATATGTATATATATGTGTATATATGTATATATACACAAGGCTCAATCTGTAACAACATGTTACTAATCTCTTACAAAAGGGCTTAATAGCTCCAGGGTGAAATACACTTTCTTCTAAGGAAATTTTTTTGATCATTTTTAGAGGATTATTCATAACAAACAATACAAAAAGCAATACAGAATAAATTATTTAGGGCCTGCTACTGGGCAGGCTTGGGTGGTGGTTGGGAAAATTTGAAATAATGGTGCTGGGTAAGGTGTAATGGTCATGGGATTGGTACTGGAATACCGAATGCAGTAAATTATTGTGACCAACTTTATAAAAATAAATTTTAAAAACAATTCAGCCTTTCAATCACCATGAACTCAGCACTATCTACATGATTACAGTCCCCAGACAGAAACAAATAGTTGCAGCCCCAAACTACAAATCATTTCTTCATGATTTGTCTCAGCAGGCTAACCCTGACATAAAGCAGGCTACCTAAAGCACACACAAAGAAAGCAAGAGAACACTGCAGCTTTGAATTTATTCTTTCCCTTCTTTGGGGGAGCAAAAGTGAGTACCTAAACCATAGGCCTTCATCAAATGTTTATGGGTTTGCAATGCCTGAATTTGGCTAGTCTCTGTGACTGAACAGTGAACCGGGATGAAGACATGTGGAGCAAAAAACACTCAAGCACATTTTGACAACTCCATGATCCCTGCGGATTCAACTTTATTGCCAAAGAGAACACTAACTATAGTATCCATCCAACACTAACTATAGTGACATGAAATGGGCATGAGGGGAAGGTCTGTTCCAGCCTACACTTTCATACAGCCTGTGAATCAAACCCCAGTGTCTCTTCTTTCATAGGTTACCAACTCCCAAAATACTCCTTGTAAACTAGAACAAAGTCCTACTTTGTTCTGTGGCATACTGGTAGAGAACAAGAAAAAGAGTCAGTTTATTCAAAACCTAAGTATTTACATAACCAAAATTTCTATCCCACCAGCTAGTGAATGAAAATAAAAATATGAATTTTAGCACATTTTCTATTTCCTACTATTACCCAGGCAATGGGCCAGAGCGATAGCACAGCAGGTAGGGCATTTGCCTTGCTGCGGCCAACCCAGGTTCGACTCCTCCGTCTCTCAGAGACCCTGGCAAGTTACCAAGAGTATCCCACCCACACGGAAAAACCCAGCAAGCTACCCGTGATGTATTCGATATGCCAAAAACAGTAACAAGTCTCATAATAGAGACATTACTGATGCCTGCTCGAGCAAATCGATGAACAACGGGAGGACAGTGCTACAGTGCTACTGTGCTACCCAAGTAATGTTATAAAATAATAACTTGCTGAAAGACAAATGATAAGGACATTAGCAAAAGAATACAGAGCCAAAAAAAAAGTGAAGATATAAAGGAAATATAAGGGGCCATTATTTTGTTTTTAAGTTTATCTAGTTAGAAATCAAAAGATAAAGCTTTTAGTAACAGTTCTGCCAGACACCAGGTATCTCAGTTTTGGTAAGTCACTCTCCAAGGTTGCAATCTCCTAAATTACAAAACATAAATAATATCTAATATCCCTTCTTTCCTTCTTATTAATAATTAGTGTGATATTTTAAAATAAGAACTTATCTCTAAAATATAAAGTACAGGACTTTTCAAGCAGTAACCAGTTTGTTAGTTTTTTTTTTAAACAAGTTTTAGAACTGTATACTCAGATACAAATCTATGAATACTAATTATAAGTCAGTTAATAGCTTTCTTTCCATAATTAAAAATCACAATCAAGGGCTTGAAAGATAGGACAGCAGGTAGGGAGGTTGCCTTGATAAGGCCAATCTGGGTTCAATTCCCAGAACTCCATATGGTCCCCCAAGCCTAGCAAAGAGTGATCCCTAATTGCAGACCCCGAAGTAAACCCTGCAGATCCCCAAATCAAAAACAAACCAAAAAAAAACCCCCACAATCAATGGATTATTTTAGTAAGTTTTATACATATACATGTTTTTAGACAAACACATGAAAAATTATATCTATATGCTCTTGACTTTTAAAGAATACCTATTTGGCCTAAGAAAAAGCTTATAATTTTTGTATTCTTCTGATAGTCCTTAATCAGTCAAACAACCCACACCTGTGTTCTGCTAAATGGCGCCACCACAAAGAAATATTCAGTGTCTCCACTGAATAGCTTTGAATCTACTCACATCTCCATATAATTCACACTGAGAGTCAACAGTCTGTCAGCAATCTGCTGAATAAATGACCTCATCTAACTTTGGGGAAAAAAATGCACTGAATATCAGCCTGGTATAGATCTTTTCTATTATTCTTTGTTTTATCCTCTGCAACTCTGTACCCAATATCTAAATGGTTCTCATTTTGAAATATACTATGATGTTAATGTTAGTATATTTGCGGAGTAGCTATTGAACAATAATATTTTCTTACAACTGGTACCTACTTTATCTCAATGTCTGTTTGTGGGATCACAGATATTTGAAGCAGCAGCCACAATTTTCCTTTTTTTTAAAACAAAAGTTTTTCTTTTATTTATTTAGGTTTTGGGGCCACATCCGGCAATGATCAGGGCTTACTCCTGCCTCTGTGCTCAGGGATCACTCCTGGTGGGGCTCGGGGATACCAGAGATGGCCAGGGAGTGAACTTGGGTCAGCCATTTATAAGGCAGACACCCAACCCATTGTACTATTGCTCTAGCCCACAGTCACAATTTCCATCTTATATTCCTAACTGGACTGGAACTAATTTTATACATGCGGAGCTGGTCTGGATGCTGGGATGCTGCTTGACATTTCTGACAGACTTTAAAATCACTGACTCAAACCTCCATACTCAACTTTTCAAGCCCTGTTTTGGCAAGAGTTAGACTGTCACAGATATTTTGCATTTCACATTTAGGAAAGTTTAGTATGTTTTTCTGTACATATTTGAAGGACATCTTATCTGTTTGCATTATCTTTAAACTAAGCACACTGCACCAGCACTGAGTCTTTTGCTAGATAATTGGGAGCAGCAATTTTTCAGTTCCCCTGAGGCCCAGAGTGTTTGAACATCAAACATGGAGATCTGAAACTGTAACTTTGCTACTTTTTCACACAGAGGGATTTGATCAACTTCGCCCTCTGAGTTAAGATGCCACAGAAGTCCCCCAATTCATGAGCTATCATTTTCGTCTAGGTGTAGGGGTTTTCTAACTCTGCCTTTAAAATGATTCATATATGTTAACATTCACAGTCATCCCTCTTTCTCTCTTACTTAGCAGATCCTAGAAATTTAAGTTGAAGGAGGTGATTGTAAAATAGGATGTCAGTGATTTGTTAGGATGCATTGTGTTCTTAAGTACGATTTATGTGGTTCATAAAACATGACTTTTGCAAACAAAACAACTATGGGTCACTGGAGGGTGGCACACAGCTTGGCAGTGTAAGTCTTGGGCTACAGTTATACCCTCCTACATTTGTCTACTTAGTACAGCACATATTCCATGTTCCCTTTCCAATACCCTCTGAGAAGTGTTTGATGCTGCTGATGTACCTCAAACACAAGAACAATCCTTGCCTTTTTTGGATATACTCATAATGCACATATTTTGTTTTAAAAAAAAAAACTTTTTTTCCCCACTAACCTGGTGCAACTACGTTTACTCTTATTTTCTTCCTTGCTACTTCTTTAGCAAGAGCACGTGAAAATCCAACTAATCCTCCTTTACTGGCACTGTACGCAGTCTGGCCAGCATTGCCCTTTAAACCAATTATACTTCCTAGAAAAAAAAAAGAACATAAATTCAAGTCAAACCTTAGAGGTTATATGAATATTCATATAATTCATAAGAAACATACAAAAAAATGACAGGGGAAAAATTTTTTGCCTTGAGGCTGGAGCGATAGCACAGTGGGTAGGGCGTCTGCCTTGCACGCAGCCAACATGGCCGACCCGAGTTCGATTCCTCCACCCCTCTCGGAGAGCCCGGCAAGCTACCGAGAGTATTCGATATGCCAGACACAGTAACAACAAAGTCTCCAATGGAGACGTTACTGGGCCCGCTCGAGCAAATCCATGATCAACGGGAGGGCCTTTACTTACTTTACTTATCCTTTGTTAAAATTAGAAATTCTAATCATGGTCATAACATAGCCATAATACAATTTATTGAGTCTGCATCTGCTCCAGATAAATACAGAAAATCGGATATTAAAGAAGCTTATATAGCACTTTGAATGTCAGGTAGACGTTTGAGAACTGATCCAGTAAGTGAAAGAATACCACACTAATGTCTGAATAGAAACAATATGATAAAAAGCATTGATAAAGGTTTTTACTAGTAAGAGTTTAAAACCAGAAAAGGCCAGAAAAAGGCCGATTGATTTGACAATTCTACAACACAGACATAAGAATTCATTTCTACTTTAAAAAGTTCATTTAAAAATAAATCAAATTAATCTGAATGACTGTCAATTTAAATTAAGCAAGCTTCAATTATATACTCTTTGTAAAATTGAAATTTAATACATTCAGTGACATAACATAACTTGTATTGCCTACTAAAGATTCTTGGGTGGCCAAAACTCATCTATAATTCAAAGATCAACTGCAAGCAAAAACATTCTAACAAAAGAAGTGGGAAGGTAATTTTCTGCACTGGTGACCTACACTTATGATATAAAAATTAATCAAAAACCCCACATAAGTTTTGAAAAGTAATTTAAATTTATAATGTTTAAGAAGTTTAGAAAAATGTTTCAGGTACTTTTATGGCATAATCAACACCTCCAATATAAAATATTTTCTACTTTATATACCAGTGCAGAACCAGAAGCAAGCCCTGGGCACCACCAGTTATGGCATTCCCCCAAGTCCACACACACAAAAAAATTAAAACTGAAAGGGAAATGGTATGGATATTTTCAAATTACAAAAAAAAAAATTAAATTAAAGCCATTTTGCACTTATATTTTTTTAAATTTGAACCACACCTGGTGATACTTAGGGGTTACTTCTGGCTCTGCACTCAGGAAACACTCCCGGTGGTTCTCAGGGAAAAATATGAGATATTTAGGTGTGCAAGCTGGCCTTGCATGCAACTGACCTGGGTTTAACCTCCAGCACCACATAGGAGCACCAGCAGGTGTAATCCATGACCACAGAGCAGGAATAAGCCCTGAGCACCACTGGGTGTGGGCCCCAAAAATAGAAACAAAAAACAAGAAAGCATCCTCTTCTAACTTTATCCTAGACTTATCAATGACCCACACAATTGCTGTAACTGTTACTTCTTAACCCTAACCATTTAAACTTTTCCAATTCCTTGCTCATTTTTATTTTATATGTTTATAGGTGTCTCCCCAAAGGTGCTAGAGTCACACTTTGGGGGGTGAGGGTTGAGGGGGCATACACAATGCCAGTAGTGGAATTCAGGGGCATGTGTGTGAGAGATTTGCATTCACCCCTCTGAGCTATCACCCCAGCCCTTGTTCATAATTTTAAGCCAATACAGTTCTCTCTCAGGAGAGAGTTTATTTCTCTTTAAAGATCACAATAACTAGAAAACTAGGACCACACTCATGCCTAGAAACAATGCTCTAGATTCTGAGCAGTGGGCACTCCCTGTCAACCCAGATGTGCTCTGGACACTGAAGCCAGGTGTCTGCTGTCACTGACCACATATCCTTTGCTATTATGTTTTGAAAATGGTGATCTCATTAATTGAACACTTTTGGGGCCACTGGAGGGATATGACTCCACAATTCCAAGTTTATCCACTAATCTAATCATTTTCCAGAAAAAATACAAAGATACCTTTCTTTTCTTTTCCATGTTAGTGTGTTCAGGGCTTCCTCGTAGTTCTGCAATCAGGGGTCACACTGAAAGGACTCAGGGACCATCTGGGATGCCCAGGATCATATCCAAGTGGGCCATGTGGAAGGCAAGCGCCCTACCCACTGTACTATGAATCCTGCCCATACGAAGATACCCTTCTTCCAAGTTTCACATGTTTGGGTATTTCCAGGTACTAGAAGACTTAAGTTCACATACATGAAAACTCACCTATATTAACAATTGACCCTCCCTGTTTTTGAATCATAGTCTTCGTGGCAACTTTACAAGTCAGCATGGAACCCAAGAGATTGGTATGAAGCTGAGATATCATATCTTCAGTTTTTGTTCGTACTAAAAGGCTGTCCCTAAAAAATAAATAAATAAATAAATATTACAGACATAATAGGATAGAGAGTTCAATTTTCCTTCGGTTTGCACAGCAGATAAGGCAGAAGGGACTCACCTGGAAGCCAGGTTCCTTCCTCCCCTCCCCACATATAAGGTAGCAAACACGCTGAACTGCTAAAACATAGTGGCAGGTTGCCAAAATAGCATGGAGAAACTGAGCAACTGCCATACTGTATGGTTTAATGAGAAAATTGTTCTAAATACCCCAGGCTTAATTTCTCTTTTTCTAAAAAAATACCCACTCGGATTCAATTTAGTTCATGACCTGATAAAACTCATTTTACCAGAATAAAACTTATTCATGGTGAAAGACCTCAGAAATATGGTTCCTGTGAGGAAGTACTTGTTAACTGGGAAGAAATAGCCTTCTAAAATTTTGTTCAGAAAGGCGGACAACCACTGACTTACCTATTGGTTTTATCTGCCTGTCTGTGTATCAGTCTGCAAGACAGGGGTGAGTCCTCAAGTATGAAAGTGTTGAATGTTGGTCTAAAGTGGTGGGAGAAGTTCTACAACTCAATATGGGGGTGACTTTAAAATTAAATCGAAGCCTTATTATTTATTATCACTCAACATAAAAGAACAGCAAAAACTGACAGATCAAGTTTTGAAATATTTCACTTTTTCTCCAGTTAAAGTCAAAACAACTTAATATATAATACTAATCAAAGAGACCTTGAGGGAGGGCACACATTAAAGTCCTTAATTTGTGACTAACCTGTTAATTCCAGCTGCATTGACCAAGAAATTAACTGGACCCAAATGTTTCTCGATGTCTTCAAATGTATTTTGAACATCATGTTCTTTGGCAACATCACAGCTAAATGCCAAATGCTGTCCTATGGAACAAATCTGGATTAAAATTAATTATAAACTGCAGCTTGCAATTTAAAAGTTACTGAACACACACTTGTTAAGCACCTACTATGAGGTGGGCCTGCAGTGATCAAGAACACAAAGATAAATGATTAAGTCATAGGTTTCTACTCTCAAGTTCATTTGGTCTAATAAAACTGAGGTGGGAAACAAGGAGCAAAAAAAAAAAATATATAGAATGTTGAGCTCAAAACCTTTCTCAACTACCACTAGAAAAGTTGGGAAGGGCACAGTTTGTGTTTCTAATGTTTTGTAGAGATTCACCTAAGAGCTTCTATCCTTGACACTGAACTCAAGGCCCTGATTCAAGTTGTCTGTCTTATATTCTTTTATGGAAATACATATCTAATTCTGTTAGTTTTTTGATGACTTTCCTGAAATGGCATAAATTCTAACATTTCTTTTCCTTTGCTTTTCCTTCACATATAAAGTATTTTATATATACTACAACAGATCAAATATATTATAATGTAATCTGATTATATCATAATGACTATTCAAGCCTGGCCATAAACGGAGATGAAACAAAACATATTTTAAAAATGCTGAAATTTAGGACCACGGTGATAGTACAGCAGGTAGGAAACTTGCCTTGCATCCAGCCTACCCAGGTCAATCCCCGGCATCCCATATGGTACCCAAAACACAGGCAGGAATAATTCCTGGTTGCAGAACTAGAAGTAACCCCGGAGCATTGCCTGGTGTGGCCCAAACCCCTGCCCCCCAAAAATAAAAAATCTGAAATTAGGGTCAGAACGTACAGCGGGTAGGGCGATCACCTTGCACATAGCAAACCCAGGTCGGATCCCCGGCACCCTCTATGGTACCCCAAGCCCCACCTGGAGTGATCCCTGAGAGCAGAGCCAGGAGTGAGCCCTGAGCATGATGGATATGACCCCAAAACAAAACAAAACCGCAAAATGCTAAAATTACATCCATGGGGAAAAAGCTTTTAAGTCCTAAAGAATTACTCTTCAAAGGAAAGGAAGTCATTCTTTAATAATCTGCCATTTTAACACTCCAAGGGAACCCCCCCCTTTTTTTTCTTTTTAAACGCTAGACAATTGCTTTTTTTCTGGCTGACCCTGTTGAATCTGTCCACGCCACAGCAAACCTTTAGACAAAGGAGCTACCTGGAAAGTCACATACAATTGACGGGATGTAAAGTCAATGAGTCCTGAACACAGGCTTCCGAGAAAGGACAGTGAGAAAGAATTTTGTCTCAAGCTGGCTTCCGCCTGAAAGGTGTTGGGTCCACACCTTTCAAGCAACTCTTCAAAGATCAACCAACGGCTTTCACCTAGTCCCGCAGACACTAATGCCCAGTGTCCTGATCAGGAGCTCCCCTTCATCATTCGTTTGTCCCAGCATGGAGCAATGAGTATGACCGCGAGATGCATCCCTGAAATCCACGCTGCCCAGCAACCTACAAGTTTCTTTTTTCCTTCCAAAGAGTTGAATCCTCTCCTCACCGCTAACACGGGCTAGTTCACTCTAGCACGGGAGACTCTGGGTCAGCAAAGCAATCCCTCAAATCATTGCCAAGTTCACAGCCACCAGGTGCCTCCCTGATAGTAAATGAGGTGCACCTAATCGAGGACCTAAACCAAAAGCAGCGCCCTCACCTTCACACATCTTCCTCCCATCATCCAGTGCCTTTAAATCGAGAACTGCTGGGCCCTACTTCATAAACAAGGATCCGAGTGGATGCAGTGCAATGGAGTTGGCAGCATGAACCCACCACAACATGTGCGCTGGCAAGACACTGAAACAGTCGGGTAACTTAGGAACACTTACGGTGGGGAGTCAGGCACATCTCAAAACTGGCAGAAACCCCAAAAGTTTCTCCATAAAACCCCGCTTCGGGGCTCCGCAAGCGAGCCTGAAGCCCCCCGCGCCAGGCACCCGAGACATCCCGTGTTCCCCTCCCCCCACGCCCCCCCAAGGAGCTCGCACGCAAGCAAGCACTCACTCAACCCTTTCCCCTACATACAAAGGTTAACTCTGCCCCAGTCGCCTCAACATTGCAGCTGCTGCGGGCACGGAGCACGAGTCTCGGGTTTTGGGGTGCTGATGACTAACTAAGACCTCTCCCCGGGGCTTTGTCTCCAAGAAACCATCGTGGGTGTGTTTGTATGGGGGGGGGGGATGGGGGGGGGGGAGTCCCCGGGCGGCAGGCTGCCTGGAGGCAGCATTCTGCTGCAGAGTCTGCACCAGCTGCTATCTACACTCGGGACTGCTCAGGGCGGAAGGGCTCAATCTCAGCGCCCCAAAGTGCCCACCCGGGCCACTGGCGAACCGGTAGATGAAGGGCGCGTGGGGTTGCAGACACACACCACGGGGCAAGCCCACTTCGGTACCTACCGCCGAGCTCGGCGGCGGTGGCCCTGGCCACTTCCAGATTTCTGGCGACGATGGCCAGTCGATAGCCTTTCTGGGCCATTAGGTGGGCCACTGCCCTGCCGATGCCCCGGGAGCCACCAAACACTGCACACACTTTGTCCATGCTGGGCCGGGCAGAGGGAGAGGCGGCCCCTTCCCGGTCCCACGGGATCTTTAACCACCGCTGCTCCCCGAGGGAAAAAAAAAAGTAGGGTGGCGGGGAATTAAAAAATAGGTGCAAGTATCAGCCCGCCCGAGACCCTTGCAAACCCCGGGACACTGGCAACATCGAAGGGCGCGCGGTGGAACGCTAGGAGTGCGGCGCCCGCGTGCTGACGTCAGCGCGCACGGGCTCCGCCTACGAGGACACAGGCTTGAGAGCGCCTGGGCTGCCTTGGCCGTCCCGGAAGCGGCTGCGTTGCATGCTGGGACTTGTAGTTTGAATGTTGGCCGGGCTCAGGCATGGCCTTGTAGCCCAAAGAGAAAACGTGTGAAAGGAAGGTAATGACAGATGTCAGCTTTCCCCTCCTGGATCGTGGATGTCGGCATTACAGCCTGAAACGACTGGGCTTCAAACACACAGAACTTTGAGTCATTTGAAATAACTTTTTAAATTAAAAAAAACATAAAACACGGGTCTTATGGTTTTAAAATCAGGACAATCCCAATCAGAGTGATGAGTTGATCCCCATAGAACCCAGAAGAAGAGATACTTTCAGGAATTTCGGTGCCTGTCTTTCACCCAGGATATGAAGAAGTGGTCCCCAAATATTGGACTAAAACCAAAATCCATGCTACCGTTGAAATGGGCCTTTCCTACCACGACCTTATACTCTTGTCCTTATACAAGAATGTCTGATAAGTAGGCAGCTTCGCTGCAGAGAACACCATAATGAAGGGAGTTCATCTTTTGATGATAGACCAAATGAGAGTCGGTTCCTGCAATTCTCAAAGTGCTAAGTGCTCTGACAGTCAGCAAGCAAAAGTTGCACTGTAGTGACTATACTATAAAAAGGAAGCATTTTTAAAGATAACATCATTGCATTAGATAATTCAAAAAAGTATAAACCATGCTCTTACGACTAAATTCACACCCTGAGCTAACAAGACTAATATACATGAAACACTATGACCAAATAGTCCAAAATCACAGAAAATTGCAAAATGTTAACACAAGACCTCACTAGAATGGGTGTCAATAAAGGAAAAGAGGGTGCCTGGAACAGCTGATTTTGAGAACTTGTTACAGCTTAAATTTGTAACCAGAAAAAAGAAAAAACTGTTAGCAAGTTAGCAGGTTTTTTTTTTCAAGGTGGGAGAAATGGGGGCCCTCACCCCAACAGTGTTCTGGGCTTACTTCTCACTGCACTCAAGGATCACTCCGTGCAGTTCCAGGGGAACCACATGAGGTGCCAGGGATTGAACTTGGATCAGTTGCATGCAAGGCAAACACCCTATCCTCTTTACTATCTCTCAGGCCCCTATCGGTTTTTGATGTTAGTTTTTTCCACCTTTCTCCAAAAGGATTTGAGTTGGCTTGTAAAAATGTATGAGCAAGCCTGCGCCAATTAAGACTAGTCCTGGCGGTGGGGGGTGGGCAGGGGACAGAAAGTAACAAGTATTGGTGAGGTCGTGGAGAAATTGAAACTTGACCTCTTGTTAGTGGGAATATAAACTGATCCAATTTTCTGGAAAATGAAATGGTACTGATTCAAAAATTAGAATTAGCTTAGGATATCGGAATTCTACTTCTGCTTGTATATTAAAAAAACTGAAAGCAAGATTGTGAGGTTCTATTTGCACACCCATGTTCAAAGTAGTGTTAGTCTATATATATGTATATATAGCCCTAGAGCGATAGGACAGCAGGTAGGGTGTTTGCCTTGCACACGGCCAACCTTGGTTCTAGTCCTCCGTCCCTCTCAGAGAGCCTGGCAAGCTACCAAGAGTATCCCGTCCGCACATCAGAGCCTGGCAAGCTCCCTGTGGCGTATTCGATATGCCAAAAACAGTAACAACAAGTCTCACGATGGAGACGTTACTGGTGCCTGCTCAAGCAAATCAATGAACAATGGGAGGACAGTGCTACAGTGCTATACGTATGTGTTTATAAATACATAAAACATGAGTGCATGAGTGCATATTTACATATACTGCATATATATTGTGAAATATAGTTCCATTCTAGTACACACATATACATGTGATATGTGTGTATATATAAATATGTACTTCTTTTCTTTCTCTTTGAGAGTAACAAAAATGTTATGTTACCTGTTTTCACCTACTTTCTCATACAAAAAGTTGTACACTGAAATTCTTTCCTCCTAGCTTTCTTCAGTATCGCAGTGTACTGTGAAGAGCACAACAACACTGTTTGCTGAACTCCTGCTTGCTCATTTTCACAGCTGCATATTGTTCCACTAAGGGGGTTGTGGTTGGCAGAATTCCAAAATGACCCCATCACCCATGGAACCACAGCTGTTTAAACACTAATCTGCAACCACTGTGAAGGAAATTTGACAACTTTATGAATTTGCAGCTCAATGAACCTTAAATTATGTAGTTTATCTGTGTGTGTCAAATCTAATCAGGTTAAACCTTTCAATGAACCAAATAGTGACAACGGGGGCAGGGAGGGGGGGTGCAGGGAGACTGGTAGCAACAGAAGAAAGTCAGAGGCATTTGAACATATCAGAGTTTAGGGGTTGAGATGAGTTCCTGCTGGTTTCAAGGAAGAATACTATCTCAGCTGTGCTGGGAACAGCTAATGGAGGAATGGAGGACTGTCCCTAGATTTGAAGAACCAGTAGTTCAGCCATTACTCACTACAAACTGTAAGTTCTCACTAAAAACTTTGAGTATTTACTGAGACAATAAGAGCCTCTATTTCATTAAATTTCATTAAATTTGGTCAACAACGAATATGTTTAAAAGAGACTCTGGAGCCTCAGATGAGAAGTGCTGCATCAGCCAACACCTTGACTTTAAGTCAACACAACTGAGGGTCAAGCTACATGGTACTCAGTCACCTGACCATATCAAATTAATAAATGTTTGTTGCCAAAAACAGTAACAACAAATCTCACAATGGAGACGTTACTAGTGCCTGTTTGAGAAAATTGATGTATGATGGGAGGACAGTGCTACAGTGCAGTGTCTTGAAAAATACATAAGCAGAGATGCCTCCAGATTCCAAAGTCACCATTCAGTTAAAAATTTAGCTCCAGCTGTATCACCCAATTAAAAATTTTAGAATTTCTGGAGTGACATCTCGTAGTCTGCACCACTGATGTAGCAAGAGTAGCACACCACATTGGATGGAGTGTAAAGTAAAAGGCAACCAATCCCATCTCAATCAAATGAGGATGTGGAGAAATTGAAACGTGGAATGGTAGCACAAGGGTAGGGCATTTGCCTTGCATGTGGCCCACCCGGCCGATCCGGGTTCAATTCCTTCGCCCCTCTTGGAGAGTCTGGCAAGCTACCGAGAGTATCTCGACTATTGCGCAGCAAAGCCTGGCAAGCTATCCATGATGTATTGGATATGCCAAAAACAGTAACAACACGTCTCACAATGGAGACGTTACTGGGCTTGAGCTAATCAATAAACAATGAGAGGACAGTGCTACAATGCAGTGCTACTCTTGTTAGTGGGAATGTAAACTGTTACAATTTTCTTGAAAACGGAATGGTACTGATTCAAAAATTAGAATTAGCTTATGATACAGGAATTCTTATATATACATAATAAATCATCTCTTTACAAGGACTTAATGGCTGCCTGGTAAGATACGAAAATTTTCACACACTTTCCTCTAAGGAAAATTTCTTGGATCATTTTTAGTGGATTACTAAAAAAAGCAATACAAAACAAATTATTTAGCACCTTGGGGCAGGCTTGGGTGGCGGTGGTAAAATACAAAATAATGGTGGTGGGAAGGTGTAATGGTGGTGGAATTGGTATTTGAATACTGAGTGTAATAAATTATTGTGGAAAACTTTAAAAAATAAAATAACAAGAACAAATAAATAGATGAGTTAATGATTTTGAGCTAGAAGGTAATGATGAGCCCACAAGACCTTTCAATTACATGCAGTAGAAAATTAATCCTAAGTAGAGCTATAAGAATCAAAGAAGAAGAGGGCAGGGTGCCGCCAGCAGGTCAATCTGTACCTGTGAGGCAAGTGCATCAGCAGCCTGATGGCACCTTCAGACTTTCAGATACCCCAAAATTGCTGCTGTGCCTTTGGCAAGACCCCAAAATCTTGGGGCAAAGTTTACCAAGAAAGTAAACGGCCAAGAGTTAGGTATGTGGGAGACACACCCACAAACCACCTCCGACTCAGCTATATAATTGGAGGCATGGCCTCTCTGGTTCCTGATCAAACTGCTTAACAGCCATGATCCCAGAGACTCAGAGATAAATCTCAAAACCTTTTGGCTTTTGGCAGAAATGTGCCCAGTCCCCGCAATGGGTTACCAGCGCCGGACCACCCCAGGGGGGAAAGGGTGTTGTCCTTCCACCTGCTCCCCCTTGGCAGCTCGGTGGCCACCATCTTCCAGAGAACATTGGACAGTCAGGTTTGGGCCCACAGTGACAAGACACACGGGGCCTCACAGGATGGGGGTGGAGCGGCCCTTTCCTCTCTACCCCAACAAGACCCCGAGTCGCTGCCCACGAACTATCTCTCTGGCTCCTGATCAAGCTGTTTAATGACCATGATCCCAGAGACTCAGGAACAAATCTCGAAACCCAGCAGCTTTTGGCAGAAATCCCTCCAGATTTAATTGTTAAAATTTTGGAATTTCAAAATCACAGAACCACAACTGCAGCCACGATACATCATATGTTATTCATAACCAGCAATAGAAAAAAAATTGTCTACGGTTGCCTTTTGAGCAGATCTGAGTGTTGTGGTAAAATCCCAAATAATAATGGTGGATGTGGTGTCAAAATATTGAATGTAATCAGAGTAGAGAGAGAGTAATGTGGAAATCATCTGCCCCACAGGTAGGGGGAGGGTGTGGGATTGGGGATATATTGGGGGGGTTGGTGGTGTAAAATGGGCACTGGTGAAGGTATGGGTGTTTCATTATATGACTGAGACTTAAATCCGAAAGCTTTGTAACTACTCTCACGGTGATTCAATAAATAAAATTATAAAATATGAAAAAAAAGTAAGATGGAGTTCATGCCCAATTCAATCAGCCTAATTAATGGCTGAATACATAGCAATACTCCTACTTTTAA